CTTTGTGTACTAAAACATGATACACATTTTTTTCTAACACAATTCGCATCGTTATAAAATAAACATTTCTTATGCCGGGATTACGATGAACTTAACGTAACGGGACGCGACGGGACGTTACGTAACGTAAAACCTAAACACATTGTTTTTATATGCGGCTGATTACGATCGACGTGACGTGAAGTGTCAGAACTTAACGCAACGTGAAAACTGCCAATGTCAAGTTTCACGTCGCGTTGCGTCTGTTCACGTGACTCTTTCAGCCAATCAACGCTCTCGATTCTTGTGCGCGTTGCACTCGAATTCAAGAGTGACATTTGGTATCGTATTGCAATATAAGCAGTAACAACAGAAAATGTCGATCAACGACACTTTATTAGTAGAGTGTGTGCGGGCGCATCCCGAAATATACGACAAGGGACATGCAGGGTTTAAGAATGCCGGAATAAAAGACTCCGCATGGAAGATTGTGGCCGAAACATTAAATGGTAGGTTCTATTGCATCCTTCTTGATTGGAAATTTATATAAGTTCATACGTTTTTTTATATCTGTTGTGTCATTATTTTAGCATCAGTAAAAGATTGTACGGCCAGGTGGCAAACCCTTCGCGAGAGGTTCACGAAGGAGAAGCGTATTCTCGAGCAGGAGGCGAGGTCTGGAGCAGCGGCTTCAACCCGTCCAGAATGGCCTTTATACAATATTCTAAAATTTCTGACACCTCATATTAGAAAAAGAAAGTAAGTTTAGTATATGGTAGTTTGTTCCAGGGTTGTTAAAGTTACTTTATAAAAATAACTCGTTAATTAACAACGTCGGTTTGTTCTACGTATTTTCGAATAACTGCGGTAAATATTTTAATTATTTCTGGTTGCAGATCTGTGGACAATTTCCCACCAAAAGCGTCGGTGTCTGTACCCACATTGTCATTGACAGATGAAGAGTCGTCGCTTTTGCCTTCATTGGCATCTCCAGGCGTAGAAATAATATTGGACGAGCAAATTGTAGATGATCCATTTAAAGTGAATGATACTTGCTCTCCCCTCTCGTCACCTTCACCTATGTGTACTTCATCAGCAGCAGCTGCAAATATGCCTTACTTAGGGCCTACAGGTCGATGTAAGAAGCCAAAGAAAGACGAGACGGCTGAAATGTTCAAAGAGACTCTTGCCAATCTTAACAAATCCATGGCTACATATAGTGCTCCTGCTCCACCACCACCACCTTCAATTGACACTAATAATCCCGACGTCTTAATCGGTAAAAATGTTGAATCTTGTCTCAAGAATTTAACAAATATGGCATTAAAACTTAAATACAGGAGGAAATTTAGATCTCTCATTCAAGATTGTGAAGAGGAGGCTGAAGGATTGAATGAATCAGTGTAATTATGGGACACAGATATGCATACTTGTCGACAATGTACGATTTGCACAAATTTTTTAAACGTATTTATGGACTACAAAATAGAATGTTTCTAGGCGCAAAGCCTAATATACAATGTGCTCTTTGCATATGTTAGATGTGTTGATATTTTTTTGTTTTTTTGGCAAATTAATATTTCGCGAAATTATCTTCACGTGTTCTTTGCATTTCACCATTTGTACGTAACACTCAACGGATTAACTTTCGTAGGCATTGTAAATAAAGGAGAAATTTAATTTTATAAGTTCAACGATTCACAATAAAAAAAAACAATACAAAGTGTGTGTGTATGCGAACGTATACATGTGCAAAATTATATTCGTCTGACGCACAGCTAAATAAATAATAATAATATAATAGATAAGTAGGGTATAAAGGGGGATTCTAACCCATGGGGCTACGAGGGGGGAGCGGGGCGGGGGGGTACCCCGGGGCGAGGGGACAGCGGGGAGGGGGTACTCCGTGGGCGAGGGGACCGCGGGGAGGAGTACGCGACCTTGACGTCATGCAAGGTGCTGACCTGTCACTACGTGACATATAACAGATATCTAGGTGCTGACCTGTCATCGAACACCTGGACGCGTATGAGTCACAGGGTCAAGCGCCGAAACCTGGCTGATGACTTTCTTATCAAGGTGAACGATGTCGAGAAGCGTTTATTATTCCGCAGCGCTTGGCTATCCGCGGGGCGCGGGGGAGGACCGCAGCACTACGCAATCCGCGCGGGCGCGGGGAGGACCGCGACGCTACGCGAGCCCTCGACGCGGGGAGGCCGGCGGCGGTACGCGCTCCGCGGTGGCGCGGGGCGGGCCGCGGCGCGTGACAAACCGGGAGACAGGCCTGTAATAGAGTGCATCGGAAGAGTACGTAATAGAAATGTGTGGCGCAGCCACTCATCTGC